CCCCCCCCCCCCCCCCCGCAGGCATTCTTTTCTTCAACTCGATCAAGGAATAGAGACTCCAAGTGAGTAGAAGTTGTTTCCTACCAAAATCCGCGTAGATTTCTCCAGCAGGAATCCTCTCAACCCCAAAAATACCTCTAAGAATCCCTAAGCGAAGGTCAGGCGTTATTTAATGCTTGTTAGCTTTCTTGCAGCTCCTCCGGCAGGTTCCGTGGCAAGACGCGCAAGTCAGCGTCGCCAAAGCTCTTGCAGCCCGTCAAAGACAAATCCACCATGCTCCGAGTCCTGGCTGTGACGGGATTTACTGGATTAGTGGGTATAAATTAGGGGGTGTAAAGGTGTTGGGTCTCGCGTTCGGCTTATTCCTGAAAGCGTTGCGAAGCGCTTTTTGTTGGAGTTCTCAGCTGGTTGTTACTGCTCATGCAGATGGATGAGATGAGATGGGTAATATACGCGTTATGGAAAGATCCGGCGGAAAATGACATTGGCAGGATGGCAGGATGATGACTCTCCACAGCTGCTTTAAATTGTATTTAACCCGAAGGGCAAGGCCATCGAGCAGCACCATCTTCTGAACATCCATGCTCCCGCAACAATGCGTGAAACCTACGCGCGGCTGGAGCCGCAGTCTAAGAAAAAGTGATTGGAACCTCGGCGTGGCAGCGGCAATAGTCTCGGAAAGCCGGTCACCCTAATGATTCGGAATTAACGTTAGTCTTTGCTTTGGAACCATTGTTGAAGATTTCTTGATGATTTCTGAGCCTGGGGTCGATTTATTGTAAGGTCCTGTCTAATGTTAGGGTGGGGGGGGGGGCAGTGAACACGGGGGACAGTGGCGCCACAACGCAAGACACTGCACGCCTGTCGGCCGCCAAAGCTCTCAGCAACGGGGTGGGATTTCGGCCGTGGGTCACGGAGCCGAACCAGCTCGCCAGCGCAAAGTGCGACGCCAATGCCTGGTTCACAGCCTCATAAGCCGGGTGGTTGGCCTGCTGCCGTCTAACGAGCCCATGTCTTTGCTCATACTGGAGCCGGATGCTGGCCAAGATGTGGGTCTTGTCCTCGGCCCGTGTGGCTGCAGCTTCGGCAATGCTGATCGTCAAGCCCTTCTGCAAAACCTCGATGGGGAAGGCCACCTCGCGCTGGGCCTTGGCCAGCAAGCCCAGCAGCGGCATCATCTGGTGCTCGACGCCAGCCAAGCCTGGATCGCTCTTGGAAGCAACCCTCTGAACACACGCACACGCACACCCACCGACCCACTCACGCACGCACACATCCACACACGTACACCAGCACACACGCACACGAGTGCATGTGCAGAGAGAGAGAGAGAGAGAGAGAGAGAGAGAGAGAAAGAGAGAGAAAGAGAGAGAGAGAGAGAGAAAGAGATAGAGAGAGAGAGAGACAGAGGGAGAGAGAGAGAAAGAGACACACACACACACACAACACACAACACACCCAAACCCACCCGCACAACAAACAAAACAAAAAACAAACACAACAAAAACACAGGCAAACAAACAAGCAAGCAAGCAAGCAAACAAGACAACAAACAAACAATCAATGAGTCAAACAAACAAACAAACCAACAAACAAACAAAAGAAACTCAACACAAAACAAAACAAGCCAACGAAGCAAGACACAACAACACACGACAAACAAACCAAACACACAAAAACACACACAATAACGCACACACACACATACAACAACAGCAACAAAAAATGCCACACAAACGCAAAACCACAAAAGCCCAAAACCCACAGGAACAGAAAACCCAACAAAAAAACGACAAACGGTGAGAAAAAAAACACACACACAAAACATACAAAAAAAAGACACACACACACACACTCACACACACTCACACACACTCACACACACACACACACAAAAAAAAAGGCAACAACACACACACACACAAACAAACACACACACACAGACACACAAAAAAAAAAACTCACACATACACACACAAACACACACACACACACACACACACGCAAACACGCACACACACATATATATATATATACATACATACATACACACAAACACAAACACGCACACACAAACATGCACACGCGCACGCAAACACACACACACACACAAAAAAAACAAAAACAAACATCCGCGCACACGCACCCACACACGTATGCGCACGCACGCAGATGCGTACGCACGCATTTTGCACGCACACATGTGCACGCAGGCATGCGCACGCACGCATGCGCACACACACACACACAATCAATCACACACACACACACAATCAATCACACACACAGACAATCACACACACAATCACACACACCTGCACACACCTGCACACACCTGCACACACCTGCACACACCTGCACACACCTGCACACACCTGAACACACCTGCACACGCACGCGCGCGCACGCACTCGTGCGCAAGCACGTATGTGCACGCACGCATGCGCAAGCTTGCGCACGCAGACATGCAATCTTAAGTGTACCCAATGCACGCATGTGCACGTGCAAATGCGCACCCACGCATGACCACGCACGCATGCTAGGGCTTGCATGCGCACGCATGCATGCGAGCATTGACACGCACACGTGCACATGCATGCATGCGCACGTACGCATGTAAACTCAAATATGCGCAAGCACGCACCCGCACACACGCATGCGCACGCACGCACACGCATGCACGCATGCACGAACGCACTATTGTGCACGGACGAACACGCATGCACGTGCACACACACACACACACATGCGCACGCGCACACACACACACACACATGCAACCCATCCTCCCTCACGGCCCATCCTTGACAAGTTGCGGCAACGAAAGCGGAACACATCGAGCCCTATACCCAGAGACTCCAAACCCCCTTAATTCAGGAATATACCTTAAACTATACTAGGAACTCTATAGTATGATTTTAAGGTATAATTCCTTAATTGAGGGGTTTTGGAGTCTCTGGGTGCCAAAGCCTCCAACTCTAAAGGCTCAAGCTGTAACCCCTGGACGTACACAGACAACCCCCCCTAACCCCTCCAAGCTCCCCATCCGCAAGCCGTAACCTAAACGCTTAGTCATTATTCAACCCCTTAAGAGAAAAAAACACCACAAACCCCAAAGTCCTCCACTCCCAGCTGCATAGGCCTGCGTTCTCCAATACCCAACCTTTAAACTTTTTGGGTTCTTATATTTTGGTAGCAATCTGAAAGGTTAACCTTTTATTTCCCTGGCTTATTGGGGAAATAAAAATGATCAGGAACCGCACCAATCGGCGAGATGAGACTTTTGCCTGTGTTTGTCGGGGGCTTCGGGAGGGAGGTTTAGGGTTTAGGCTTGGTTTCCACATCGGCTCTCATCTACCGTTGACTGTAGTCCCAAAGGGTCCAGTGTACCTATACATAGTAGAATGCATAGGGTTTCTATATTCGGAATCCTTATTGTGATTTAATACCTCAACCACCATAACCTACTGTTTTTACAGGTTCATGATAGACCCTTAGTATAGACCATATAAGGACCCTACAAAGAACTAGGTTTTTGTGTAGTTTCGGGTATAGGCTGGCCAAGGCGTACCAGATCTTAGATTCGAGTTATGTCGGTGCCTGAATGTATGGCAGCGGTATTGCCAGTGTTCCTTAAAGTCAGAATCGTATCAATACTCCTCCCTCAGCAGAAACTAGTCTGAGTGTTGTGGCCCCCCCATAGTACGATTTTCCAGCGGTTTGAACCTAATTCCTGTAAGTCTTCTGGCAACATTGCTAAGAATTGTCAGACAAGTTTCAAGGATGTCTGAAACGAACGACCCTATTTCCTAAACCTTTGGCTTAGGGTTCTTTGGTAGCCTCAGAGGAACAGTTGGCTCTAATGAGTTGGAGCTACAGATACTTGTCCGCCACTTTGTGGGGTTTGAGAGGATTTGAAACATTGCACCATTTTCTGGTTTTATGAGGTTTTATGGGATGTATAAGGGCTCCCGACGATTCTTGGGCTTAGCGTAGTTTGCAGCGACACCCTAAACCCTTAAACCCTAAACACCCGAAGCCCCTAAACTTAAACAATTCTGGAGAGTGGGACATGCTGGAGGCCCTGTTTCTCGAGTCTTTTACGTGTCTTCGGGTGCCTCCACAATGTCCGTTTCTGAAACCGTAAACCCCTAAACCCTTAAAAGCTCTAAAGCTCCATGGCCCCCTTAAATCTAGGACATTTTCAGGTGGGTAGGTACCGTTATAGGAGCCTTATAGAAGGTCTATCTATCTCTCTCTCTCTCTATATATATATATATTTATTTATTTATTTTATATTATATATATATATCTCTCTCTCTCTCTCTCTCTTATAGAAGCCTTATAGAAGCCCTATATACCCTAAACTCCCCACTTGTAGTTTCCTGTTATTCAGAAGGACTCCGCTGGATGCTGCGATCGTGGTGGCCGGCACTCACGCAGCACAGGTGGTGCGGTTACTGGCCCCCCGGACTGACGACGTCTCCCCGGGCTCCTTTAAAGGCTTCCTTTTTGGGGTGTCCTTTAAAGGGTTCGTCTTTTGGGGTTTCCTTTAAAATCCTTTAAAGGCTTCCTTTTGGGGTTCCTTTAAAGGCTTCCTTTTGGGGTTCCTTTAAGGGCTTAAGGAGTTCGGCCTTAGTTCCAGAATCCAAACTGCAAGCTCGCATGGATCCTCCTTCTTAGTATGAGCCATACTATTCAGCAACGACGGACGTAGGGGCCCGATCACTGTTAAGGTGGGACCCTAGACCCCGATAGACTTTATATACCCTTATTACTGTCCACAAAATCCCTACTCGCCCGAACCTCAGTCCACCCTAAACCTATACCCTTAAGCCCCAAAGCCGATACCTTTAGGGTTTAGGGTTTAGGGGTTTTGGCTTATAGGGTTTTTGGGTTTTAGGGATTTAGGGTTTAGGGATTTAGGGTTTACGGTTTTAGGATTTAGGGTTTAGGGTGAGGATGGCCACGGCCGGCTTAACACGATACTTCTCCCTTCTCTGAGCGGTGCAAAAGAGCCGCCCAATACCCCTTAATTAAGGAATATATAGCTTAAATCAGAATATGAAGCCCCTTTTTGTTTAAGGTGTATTCCTTAATTAAGGGGTATTGGGCTCTTGGGGAGCCTCCGGCAGTGCTTCACCAGGCCTCGGTACACGCGTTCCTCGATCGAGCGGCTGCTGGCATTCCCAGAGACTCCAACACCCCTTAATTAAGGAATATACCTGAAACTAGAATAAGAACCCTAATATGATTTAAGGTATATTCCTTATAACTAGTTCGATGGAATATACCTTAAAATCAGATTAGGGTTCCAATTATGGGTTGAAGGTCTATTCCTTAATTTAAGGGGGGTCTTGGAGTCTCTGGGCCTTTGGGCCCGGCTGCTCCAAGCGCCGAGCTGAAAACAAACCGTTTAGGGTTCAAGATTTAGGGTTTAGGTTTTGGGGGTTTAGGATTTAGGTTTTGGGGTTTTGGGGTTTAGGTTTAGGTTT